CTATAGACCCACTATAGACCAACTGTAGACCTACTATAGACCAACTATAGACCAACTATAGACCAACTATAGACCAACTATAGACCAACTATAGACCAACAATAGACTAACAATAGACCAACTGTAGACCAACTGTAGACCAACTATAGACCATAGTCTACCTCGTTAAATGTATAAACTGCGGTAATGTTCTCCTCCAACAAAAAAAGAGATTCAACAATTTTATCGTTAAACAAGGAAATAATATTCAAATAAATGGCATGTAGTTTGAGATGGGATAACATTAAAAAGGGGCCGTTGTTATATCATGAAAAGTCATTGCCAACATCCAGGATTGCAGTCTTATATTCAGTTTTCAGCAACTGGAAGATAACTTTTCTTTTTTCAAAAACATTGTTTTTGGAACTTCATAATTTTGACTTACTTGCTATTCAGTCTTTGTGCCTTTATTTTTTAACAGTTGTTCAAACATTGTAACATTTTAAAGAAGCTTAAAGCATTCATTAATAATTTGAACTTACAGTTAAGTATAATTAATATTTTAATTAAACTTTTATTTTAGAATATTTATGGTTATTTTTCTTTATTTGAGTCATTTGATTTGATTTACTGAGTCTATGCCAAGCTAGTTGACTAAAAGAAGTAATAAAGTAATCAAAAAGCTTGTGCTTGTGTTGGAGGTGGACTGGAACGAAATTTGGGTCCCGGGTCCTCTATACGCGCCAGTTCACTAAGGCTACGTCTGAGACACTTTTCTCCAGTGATCTTATAATACAGCGAATTGAAATATGGCGACCAATTTGAATAACTGTTGTTCTGGACTGACTAGCGACTGACTAGCCTCTCATACATGTGAAAATGCTTTTATGTTTCCACGTGAACACGAGGCAAGTCAGTGCACAGAACATCAGTTGTTATTGATCGCCATATTTCGTTTCGGAGTATAGACCTAACTTAAAAATCAACTGAGTTCACGTGACTAGCAAAGTGCTTATCCTCTACATTTGAGATTAAGTTCTGTAGAATCAAAACATCGTCATTATAATCTTCGAGGAAGATTTCCTCCAGGTGCTTTGCAATCCTAACTGACTGATTATTCATCACGTATCTTAGCTGTGACTCAAGCCTCAGTTCAGATTCAGACTTACGCCGTCTTTTCACTTCTAAACCCTTGGATTTGCCAAGGAATTCTTTGAAAACATGTAGCATTGATTTGGCCAGGTTTGTGTTTTCTACGTGACGGAAGATTTCCCGCGCTTTTTTGTGGTTTTCTCCCAAGATAGACCTGAATAGATTCAGCATAAGGAATATCATGGAAAAGCTGTATGTGATGACAGTGAATAGAAAGAGAAACTTAGGTCGTCCTATCTCACGGCCGCTGAGGTTATTGAGAATAAATGAGAAAAGAGTGCGACTGGCGAATGAAAAGCTCTTAAAATCATCCAATTGGTCTGCGAAGGCTAGAACGAAGAGCGAAGAATACGCGACTATCAGAAGTACTAAAATGATCAAGAAATTCCCAAGCTGCTCAAAGGATTTGACAACGGTACAAAAAAACTCCTGAACACAGGAAAATAAGCTGAGAAAAGCACCGAAGCGAGCCACGGCGATGAAGAACCAGAAGGCAAACATATTGGTCGCCATGTCAGCATAATCACCGCATTTGTGGAAATCAATGTAGGAGTCACGTGATTGAAGGAAAAGTCTTCTCTGGGTTGCCTGTATGTTTGTGATGACGATACGCCAAATTAGAACAGCAAGACCAACCATAACGAAAGCAAGGTCAAATATGTTTGAAACGCTGTAAAAGAACTTGAGCCTTAGGTGGAAAATCTCGAGTAAAAATCGAGTAATCATTACGAAGACTAGCAAAACCAATATAATTTCACCAATGTCACTGGCTGTGTACTGAGGCGATGATAACTTGTAAGAAGAGGTTTTTAAGCTCGCTACCACACCCCCGTAAGACGGCATCTCGAACAATAGAGTTACGACGGCGATCAAGTTACTGTTAGGACTGTAGACATTGAATTCTCCAAAGAAACCCCGAGTTGATTGGTCGAGCCATGACGAGCTCGCTAATTGGTTGACAACTGCTCTTGAGCCTGTGGTATCTTTTTGTAGGTCAGCGGTGTACCCTCCTCCGGTATAGTCTGTATAAGTACCGCTGACTTGTAAGGTATGGTTCGACTCCTCGGGATTTATATACGTCCATGGGGTATTACCTCGTGTTGTGGTGGTAGTGTTGGTCGTTATTCTCCATCCTGTTTGGTATGAATGCTTGTCTTCTAGATTGGACGAGTAGTACGTTCTGCATCCTGTTATTCTACATGGTTCTGTGTGAGATTTTAATCATATTACAATCATTTGTTAGTAATTATGAAATGGCTTTATTGGTTTTTTGCTTCTTTAGTCTTACTCTTTTCCATGGTCATCGTGATATTTTCTCACTTGCCATGATCATCATTTTCTTATTTCTCTTCACTCATCCCTTTTTTAAATCCATTCGTAAGTTCGCTCGATGTAATCTATTGTTACCTCCCTCCCTTTAACACTTATTTCTTCCTTGTTCTCCTCTAACCATTACAGTTTTTATTCCTTTCTTCTTCATTTCCCTAGCCTGCGAAACGGCCCTCCGGAGTGGGGGTTTGGGAAGAGGGGCCCCCAACCCCTGCGCCCCGCGCCAGAGAGCCGTTTCACAGGCTATCATTTCCCCCTCTTTCCTTTCTTCCTTTTATTCACGAAACTTAAAAGAGCTTACCATCTTTGACCCTCACTTGACGAAGCCTAGCGTGCAACACCCTCATTCCAGCATTATTGAGCCCTGTGTGGTAGTGGTTCTGTCCTAACTCATCGTTTATTCCTCCAATCAAGGTCTGGTTAGTCCACTGCCACAGTGTCTTTATAAAACTGACCTATTAAATTATGAAAGTATGACTGTGGGTTAAAATAAGTTAGGAAGGTTGAAAACCTTTTAAATTTTACCAACCCTGCTGAAACAACAGTCTGGGCTGATCAAAGCCAGCGCACGGCTATCTCACAGATCGAACCCTGAAACGACCTCTGGGCTTATCAAAGGCAGTGTTTGGGCAACCGTCTCACTGATCGAATTGGAATTTATATTCAGTTTATTTTTGCGGTGAATGAAAACTGGAGAATCCCTGAGGAAATCCCTCTTTTCTGCATAACGAAATAGGTCATTCTAGACACGCAGGCTTGCGGGAGAGAGAGATCGATCGAGGGTTTGAGTGGAGAGTTTTAGTAACCTTATTAGATGTAAATTAGAGGTTTGATAAGGGATGTCAGTTAATATGCAATCGATGCGCAATTCGAGAACAGGTGTGAAATTCCCGCCAAAATAGTTGTTAATCTTAAGTGGCTGTTCTAGTTTTAGCAACAATTAAATAAATTCTGTCGACTAAAGTGCTTGTGTGTAGACAACATGGCCGACAATGGTTACGTGCTGCATGTGGTGTTTACCTCTGATGTCCCAATACGGTTTAGTCCCGCCGCTGGCCTCACGAAGGTCATTTCCATTGTGTTCTTGATATCAACAGTTTCACTACTGCGATACTTATGGCTTACGAAACTCACCGCCACCAGCACTATCAAATAGTAACCGAAGTCCAGCAAGATTCTTTTAAAATCATCAATCTTGTGTTGTGCTTTTCTTAGTTTGTTGACTGTTGTATTGTCGAGGGGAGCTACGTCATCGTCGTATCTGTGATCGTTGTAGTCTGGTTGGTTTTCTACTGGAATGGTTTCTGGAGGAAGACAAGAAAGTGTCACCAATTTAATGTTTTGGAACGAGCACTGAGCTAATTATTTCCCAAGCAGACTACTAAAAATAAAAAATCAAGAAACATTATGGTTAGAGAAGGGGTCGGAGGAGTTATTTATTCGATGTCTTATTCCTCTTTGCCAAAGTTATTTTATCCAAGTAATAAACAGTACGTATGCGCGCTCGGTATCCTCAATCTTAATGCAGTGTAATAAGGTGATGGTACAGAAGCTAAGGGCAGAGAGAAGTCGAATAAGTATGCAAGATCACTAAAAATCGATACACGCTTAAAAGGGTTTATTTCTCAAGCACACCAGATCGATGCGGCATTTAGTAACATCCAACAAACAAAAAGAGAGGCCCCTAAACGGATCATTCCGATGTTTACCTCAGTATTTAAACAACGCGCTCTATGTCTTAGCTTCCAAATGGTCCCGAAATGGAGAAACAGTAGAGCATAGGTCTATAGCCTTACCTATTTTTCGCGTGGTCTTGATTTCTTCGTCATCAGTCGTTTTTCGTATGATAAGCGCAAACAGCAAAGCGGTCAGAAACACTTTGATTGGCTGGCTGATAAATGTATCTTGCACAAAAGATACATAGATGGTGGTCAACCATTGGTTGGATTTGGCCTTGCCCCACATCATGGAGTAAAAGATAACAAACACAGAGGAAGTGATAGAAGTAGCAATGCATAAAAACCAGGCTAGATAAACGCACCAGTGTGGGAATTTGTATGAGGTTATTCGAGACACTTGTTTGCCAACCCATGAACAGCAGGTGCAACAACTTTTGGTTTGTTTTCTTTCGTCTTCTGCTTGCTTTTCATCAGTTTCCTCAGCACTTACCTTATCCCCATTCACTGATTTAACAACTACTTGTTTTACATTGCCTTCTTGTAGGTCACAATTATCTTCCTTTTGGAAGATTTCTAATCCTTCTTCGTGTTCTTGCAGCTGCAATTCCGTATCGTCGTCAACAGCAGAACAAGTACAAGAAGGACCAACATTTCTCGAAATTTTTTTTCGAGAAATTTTTCTTCGTTTCTTGTTTTCTTCTTCGAGTTCTTTGTCAACGTCGTAGTCTTTGGGTCGTGAATTGCGAAAAAGGCCAACGATGAAAAGATTCATCGGCAAGACAATCAATGCGCTTTCGACACCAATTACGATCATCTGAAGATTCAATTTGATTGGGCCAATTATAATATCCCCGGATGTATCCCCTACTTCCGGACCTGCGCCGTAGAACATAGCACTAGCCACCATTGTCAAACACAGAAGCGATAGGCAACATGACAGGCGCTGTAGCCGTGTGAATGGACTCCATTGAGGTCGAAATAATAGAGAAAACCAGATGTGTTTGTCGCAAATTCCCTTGCGCAGTTTATCGTCGAAAAGAATACCAAATGAGGAGCGATCTTCAGGCGTATTTGACTTGAGGAAGGCTTCAATTTGACCCTCTCCTACGTCTAATGATAGCCAGCGATCTGAAATCGATCATACAGCATTGGTGCGTTTGAATTTTGTGTATGGGTATATAGACCTTTCTCGTTCCAAAAAAAGTAGCTTGTTCCTAATTGATTACAGACTCTTTTACTCAGGGTTAGCCTCGTATCAGTGTCAGAATATTCGCAAGCTCAAAAAAAAATGACAAACACTTTCATTTCCACGGATCTACACTGGAACACAAATATTCTTCACAAAATTGAGGCAGGCTACCTTTGTACAACAGACAAATCCAAAACTGGAGTATTTACAAAATACATACGATAGGACTGTTGCATGATGTCGTCATTGACCTCTACTACCAGACTCCCTTGCACACTTTCTTTTGTTCAGTTAATTAGCACCAATTGCCTTGCTATTCTCATGAGGAAATACAAATTTGAATAAGAAAGAAAATTCGCGAAGCGTTTTGGTAGTGAGAGTCAAATGACGCCATCATGCAAACGTCCTATGTGCAAAATCATGGTGAGAATCAAAACATAGAACAAAGAATTAGCTGAGATTGTGTTAAAAGATCGAGCATGATTGAATCTTACCGACGTTAAATATCCACTTTTCATTTGTTTGAGGATCCTTCATCAGAATTTTCCTGAGAAACCACGAAGAACTCTTCCCATGACAATCATGCCAGATTCTAATCCCTTCAATGGGACCAATACTCGCAGGTGTCGATAAAACAAACGTCCTAATGCTTCTTCGTGGGAAACCCTTGTTATTTGGGACCAGTAACGGATACACCCCAGTGGTGCCATTCTCACCATAAATATCACAGAAAACATTAGCTGTGGTGCCCGCAGTTTTTCGGCTTCCTGTTACTATGGTAACCTCGTATGTGTACGCAAAAGTGTCTTTGATTGGCGGCAATAGAGTTATTGACATCGTCTGTTGATATCAGAAATTGAAATACGCCTATTTCAAAAAACGTTGTAATCGCCAAACGCGATAGGCATTAGGCAATAGGCGAAAAGCGAAAGCAGATAGGTCATTCTAAGATCCAAGAATGGCTGGCCAAACCCTAACCCTAACAGTTATGTAAAGAACTACGACGAAATATAATATTAGGATTCATAATCATCTCACGATTACGATTAATATTAATATTAATATTAGGATTAATATTAGGAATAAGTTTACGATAAGGTTTTGATAACGGTAATGCTAAGGTTTGGCTAGGGTTCTAACCCTAAATTAAAACCTTATCGTAAACCTATTCCTAATATTAATCCTTATAGTACACTCAACAAAATTACTCGACTCTGATTGGTCGAGAGGAGTACAATTATAGCGTTAATTGTATACTCCGTAGGAGTACCGAATTAAGTCGCTATGGCAACACGGCCAAAACAATGTCAAAACAATTATTTTCTATCATTTTGTACTTAAAAACATATAAATAAAATTTTAAAGCCGTAAGAACTAATCTTTTTTATGCATTTCAGTTGGGCGATGAACTGAAAATCGGCCGCCAAATAGACAAAGATGAACTGCGTCGCTTCGCATTTTTTACTGAAATTTTGTTGAGTGAACTATATACAAAAAATCGCGCGATCTTCTCGTACAATTTGGAATTAATAGACACTAGTAATGTTTTGAAAGTTCTTTAATTGCACTCGCCTTATAAGAACTTTCAAAACATTTCCAAATTGTACTCGAGATCGTGCGATTTCCTATACTAATATTAATGATAGTCGTAATGTAATCCTAATATAAATCTGAATATTAATCGTTATCGTTACGGCATCAGTACCTCTACTTCGTCCTTTTTATCCATCCGTCTGATCCATACACCAAGCATCACATACATTAAAAACAGTCCAGCAACAGAGAACAAGACTACAACATTACCTGTGCAAAACCGAAAAAAGTACAAAACTCTCTTATAAACAAAGCTGAACATTATGTTAGGTAAAGTATGCATATTTGCAAAATTTTGCTCGGGATGTATATCTTTAATTTTTAACCACGTTTTAAAATTTGGCTGCATTTGAGTGGAATTGCGGCGGTAATATTTAATACGCAAGCTAAAAAAATCCTGGTTCTTAATTTTTTAAATTTAAGACAATTTTTTCTTTTCTTTACAGCTACTTGTAGGGTAATAATGAGTCCTTCTTTAAATACTCTTCTTTCGTTTCTCGTTGTGAAAAAGAGAGACGTTTATTTTTGTGTTTGAAAGGTAATTAAAAAGTATTACGCTTACCAGTCTCGAAAGCTTCCTTGAACCCAATCACAACACGACTGAACGAAATGGGATTCGGTGCAACGAACATCCCAGTACCAAATGACGTCAGGTGTGACGTCAAACACTGGATGTGAGTGCTGTTGGTCAGGGGCCCTCCCTATAAAGTGATAAAAAACATACAAGTCAATGAACGCATTTGCACCAATACAAACGTGTCTCTTGATTAGCATAAATAAGATAGAAAAACTTCTTGATAACGGGCGCGCCATGTAAATTCCCTGTTGGGCTATTTTTGGTAAGCAGATGCAGTTTCGCCTTCTACTTCCGTCTTCGTTTTTAGCGAGCAATAAAATAAATCAAAACAATAAACGGAAAGAGCGCGCGTGCGCAAGTTGATGACGCAAGGGAGTAGGGTAAGGTGAAAAAATTTAAACTGCATCCAGTTACTAAAAATAACCCAACCGGGAATTTACATGGCGCGCGCGTTATTAAGACGTTTCCCCTTCTTATTTATGCTCTCTTGATTAGATGAATGGCAAATGTTACAGATATTTAGGGACCTAACTTACCCAGCACCCATCTCCTTTCCACTTTTCCTCTTCCACACTCCAGAACAAACACTTTGATACGAAGGTCCTCATGCTATACCTCACCGATTCTATTGGCGACAAATCTGAACCATTTATCGTAATGCCCACAAAATAGACGCCCTTGGAAAGATTCTTATTTGATAGAAACAAAGTAGCCATGCTGTCTGCGCAAGTTTTATTGCTATTGTGACTGGAAGTAGATATTCTTGGTAGTGTCTTGATATTCCAATCAAAGTTCTCAAATGTCGGTTGTAAATCTTTACGAACAAAAACACGCAGCTGATGGTGGCACTCATTGAGAAATACTTCAATGTAAACTGAATCATCCCCTGATGTTACTTCTAACTTATGAAAGCTCCAAGAGCTGTTAGACCCGAGGTCGAAGATCTCTATTGTTGGTGATACTGAGGGTCTTTTCATGAAGAGTTCAATAGGTTTTTTAAGTCCTGTAATGGCTAAGGGTTTGCTGTTAATGGAGTAAGACAGGCTCATAACGGGACTTGTTACCTCGGATGACGTCTTGTCCCATGAATAGACGTTTTGGTTGAAAGTGAAAACCTGATCAGACATGATAAAATAAACAAAATTTAGTTCAACTCATCTTATTCTACGGACTCGGACGCAAGGTAAAAAAGTTGCCACGACATTGCAGCACTACGAAATTACACGGAGTGCCCCCTTTTACATACACATGCAACCTTGCAAAATAACGAAGCAGGTCTACGGCAGCAACAGTTACGCACGACAAGTTTTATCTTGTAAACACGGCCTGGAACGTTTCTGGTGATGATATGATGTTCTCAGTCAATGAAATGCGACTTTTTCGTTTACCTGAAAAGTGTGGCTATCTGGGTGACTTTCCCTATACTCACAATTTTGTTGCAGGAAAAGATGCCATCTCTGACATCCCTTTAAAACTCTGCGCACCGTGTCTTAGAAGACTATGCATGTGTTGTTAAAGGTGCAGTAATTAGTGGAGAATAAAATTAAGCAGCTCGTAGCACAATATTTATTACCAGACATGCGCTAGCTCATTAAAGATGACTGACAATGAAGCCTCAGTTAAACCTCTATTTGACTAAGTGCAAACGTCTCTTTACCTCTTGATCGAGTGATGTTTTATTGTCAACCATTTCCATCTCCATTAACTCTTCTCCTATTGAAGCAACAAATTTTTCTCCACTTCCAAGCGAAAGATCTTCATCAAGCCCTTCCAGACTTGCTCGCTTCAAACTGGCGCGCATCCCTGGAGCGACAAACGTTGTAGCTTGCTCGTTAGGAAGCTTTCTTCGTAGAAGTCCTCTGGTCACGTGGGATATGGATCCAGTCAGAGACTTAGCAGAATCTTTGGCCTTTTTAAAACAAATAATGAGTAAGATAAGACACATCCGAAGACTTGTAATATTCCAAGTTTCTAGTTTGTGAGTTGTTTGTTGAACTACAAAATTAAATACAATGCAATGCACGTTCACTGATGAATTAATAGACTGTTTTCTCAAGGTTGCGTGCGCATCTAAACTTAAGGAACTTGACGGGCCACGATACGAGAACACGAGCTTTATGATGAGCATTATCAAGCATTGCTATGAATTTTTTTTAATAAAAAAATTCATAAAATTGATTATTCTCCTCTTTAAATATAAAACTGGCTTCTCAATTCGACTGAATTTGCGTTTTTTTTTTTCAGTTTTGTGGCCCGCCAAATCGGATGCGCACGCAACCTTGAGAAAATGGTCTCTTGGAAATTAATTATAACCGTTAACCAAATTAAATTTTGCAAAAAGAGCATGACATTTTATTACAAAACGAAGCATTGTCACAGGAGCTAAAGGTACTAATGCTTCAGCTTCAAAATCACACAAACTTAATAATTATCTAATACCCCATTCACACCTAAACGTGTTTAGTTAAACTATTTTTTCATTAGGAAAAAAATTGAGGAACTAGAAACCTACAATATAATGAAACTTTCTAAAATATTGTCAGAGCAAGACAAAGGATAGTTTACATTATTTCACCAAATATTGTGCAGTGTTTGTAGATAATTTTTCAAACCTGTTTAGTTAAACCACTATAAAACATGTTTAAGCCTTGGTGTGAAGAATGGGGTATAAGTGTTCAGTCTAATAGCAGCAAGTAATCGCCGAACACGTGGTATTTGGCGCTTGCTCCAGTCGTTACCACAGCAAATGGCGCAAAAGTGATTTGGCGCCAAAAAATATAGATGAAGCCTTTAGATAAATATAGAGTAAAATATTTTTAAAATTTCAAATACCATAAAAAGATGACAGACTAACCTGAGCATAAACTGCTTTACTGACATTAGGCACATGCGCGGTAGGTGTTAACCCGCTGACCGGTCCATTGGCAGCTGTTGTTGAGACCATCTGTAGGACACCATCAAGAGCTGTGAAGTAGCTTTCAGCACTGCTCTTCAAAGAGTCAAAGGTAGTGTCTTTATCTGCTTGGCTGTTCAGAAGCTGTCCAAGGTTATTAATAGTGTTTGCGGACAAAACCTAATGAAGTGAAAAGATATCCACATGAGAAGTGATTTATCGATAATGTCACGATCTATAATCCTGCATCGGTAAATTATTTGCTTAGCGGTCATCCAACAAATGATGTGAACGTAGTTATTTGAAAAGTACAGAGACTGAAATGACTCTGAAAAAGTCGGTGCCGTATGCGTGCCTTACCGCGACCGTGATGTTTTCTAGAATTTTGATTGGGGAATTGTTTTCTCGCGCAACTGCCAACCCTCTTCTCACTACTAATGTTAAGTTGTCTCCAATTCCTGGAAGATATGCGCATGCATGCATACATCAGGATCGTATCCATTTCTATATGAAAAGGTGGAAGACAATACATAAGTAAACTATCCCCTTCATGACCCCTCCCCTCCACGAGAGACTCCTAATCTGTGATATTGCATTGGTATTAATTAAGTTAAAAAGTCAATGTTAGGATGTAATGTGTAGTGATACTTACCTGCGCTTGTGGATGGATTTCTTTTGCGACTTTTGTTGTCTGAGTCAAGGCGTTAGTTACTTGATTTAAAGATTCCAAGTTTGTTGCTTTGATTTCGTTCAGGCTTTCTAGCATCTGGCCGCGGATCTGCGGTTCCAAAACCAAAAACATGAATCAGATTGTTATTACATTGCTCACTCACACTTATCGTGTACCTCAAGCCATCTTGAGCAAAAAACGCGCGTACGATTACTACATATATCTGATCATTACTGTATATCTTCATGACCATACCTCAGATTTCTTGGCTTGTTGTTCCCTCTCATCTTCTACGCTTGTTGGTTGTACATTTTCAACGTTAAGTAACGAGCTGATGGTGTTTACGGTCAGGGTAACTGCCTGTGGTTTGCCTGACTTCTTCAGCGAGTCCAGCACACTGTTATTCCCTGTTGTCATGCTCGATATCTCGGTCATTAGTTGGGAAGGATCCTGGTGAGGTGGTCGTGACTACGAAACAAATGAATGTGGCAATCAATATTTGACATGTCACTGTGTTGTATGTATTTATCTCTATATAAACTAAATAAGCTAGACCTTTTTCGGTTTGGCTCTGTAATATGTTCCATGTTTTCCCATTTTAGACAAGTCAGTCAGTCAATCAGTTGGTCGGTCTATCAGTCGGTCAGTAAATGGGTCAGTTGCTTAGTGAGTGAGAAAGTGAGTCAGTCAGTCAGTCAATTAGTCTGTTTTTCTGTCCGTCTGTCGGTCAGACGGACGGACTGTCGGTCAGTCCGTCAATCAATCAATCAATCGATCTGTAAGTTGCTTAATAGAGCAGGTGCATGTTACGTCTTTTTTGCCATCTTGGTTGACAATTACAAAGCATTCCTCATTAGCTTCTCTTGTTAGATCAACCAAGATGGCGGCTATTTCATTGTTATTCATATCTCAAGGGATTTTGAGTCACATGGTTGCACACACTCTATAGTCCCCTTCACAGTTCCCTGCGCCATCTTGTAGGGTAGCCGTGCCTTTGCGTGCATTCGCTCCCGAACGGTGAGCTTGCACTGATAGGGACCTTTTTTATAACACCTTGGATAATTATTTACATGCCTTTATCACTGCAAGCTCATCGTTCGTGAGCGAAGGCACGCAAAGGCACGGCTACCTTTGAAGATGGCGCAGGGAACTGGAAGAGGACTATTAGTCAGTTAAACAATTGCATATGGCTTCTGCTTTTGCTTTCTTTTATTCTCACCTGAACGCTCAAGCGTATTGTTGTTGTTGCTCCCAGCCTATCAGAGACTCGTATTTCTATGTCTAAAGTGAAATTCCTATTACTGTCACCCAATGGCAATCCTTCAACAACTTCTGCCTTCCCGCCATAATACAGAATAGTTTGTTCATTCTGTCGCCTGGAAAAAAGGATCTGGTAACTCAATGGCTCATCCGGGTCAATCCAGTTAAAACATCGAAACGTAAACTTGGTCATGAGCACATAACCGACACGTGGTGTGACGTCACACTGTCCATCTCTGGGGGGACTGTTAACGATGAATTCCTTAGTAGCCAAGCCTTGTGGACCGATTTGTCTTTGGGCGCTGACTTCTATCTTGTATTGCATATCCCCCTCTAGGGTATCTTTGTTTATGACCAAAATGGGTAAACCAGAAGTGGAAAGTTCTTTTGTAAGATTGTTTTTGATCCATTCTTTGTCATCTTTCAAAGTGTAGATCTTCCAGCTATAGAACAGCTTGCCCAAGCATCCGGGACCTTTGCATTCTGAAAATAGCGCCAAGCGCTGTGACGGATTGACTTTCTCTTTGCAGTTTTCAGCACATCTACAATTAATTGCCAGATAAGAAATTCACTATTATGGCAATAATCTAAAGCAAAGTGTTGAAATGACTAAGTAGATCAATGCTCAAACACAAAGCTTACAATATAATGGAGGCTGCGCATAACTCATTTCAATAATTACTTTATCTTCTGTGCCTCGAGGGATTATAAATGTATGAACACATGAAGTCCAGCCTCGACTTGGCACCATATTCTTTCATGATAACTCAAGGGAATTCAGCAAAACTTCGGTCTACTCAATTGAAATGTCAATAAGCATTGAGTGAAATGTTGAAGGCAAACCTATCTAATTACAGTGTGCATGCGAATCGAAAAACCGGGGGCAACTACAAATATTCTTGGAATGTTCTATTCTTCTTTGGCAAATCAGAATTGACTTTCTAACCACAAGATAACGGAAAGTTAACAATAACGCTTCTGATTGGCTATTAAACATTATTGAAATATTTCTAGGTGCCCACGGTTTTTCGATTCGCACATTCCTAGCAACGTTTCCTATCTTTCATGTGTGTCCCATTCTTTTTTCATTCCAGTTCTTTCATTTTCATTACTGACTCGATGAGTTGCACTTACAGTATCTCAATAGAAGGCGGTTCCCCCGCGACGATATCAATCATCTGCTGCATCGAGCTGACTCTCTTCCCTTTCTTAACGATTAGCATTATCACGTACGTCTCATCCACCTCCAGCCTCTTCGTCTCCAAGGCAAATGATGTTTTATTGGTCTCCATAATGTAAGAGCTATTATTAGCATAACATGTACCATCATCATCATGTAATGTTTGGTTGGGTGAGGAGGGAGTCATGGGATTTATGAGATTGTCAGGAAATGTTCCATTCATATTCCTACACAACCACAAGAAGCTCATTCCTTGAATAAAAACAGAAAAAATAACACATTTTTACTTTCCGTTTTCCAGCCGGAGTGTGAGGCCCATAGGAAAATAAACAAAATTGCAAAAAATATCTTTTTTTTCTGTTTATGCTCAATCTACTCCAAACCGTCTTCAAGCGGGAGCAATATTTATTCCCTTGATAAGAAAGAAGATAATATTCTTTCTGACTACTCGATTTTGACCCGTGCTATTCGTTTTTTCTGATTATTCGACCTTGGCTCGTGCTATTCGTTTTTTTCTGACTATTAGATTTTGACCCGTAACGGCACGGCGCGCAGATATTTTTAAAATAAAAAACATTCTTCATTATTAGGCATATATACCTTTATGGCCATTGTGGCCTACATCCGGGTCGTAGGACGATGAACCATTAATCATCACTTCCGGTCCAAAGCCTCGCCTGAGTAGACTCCCACCAGATACCACGGCTACTAGATCAGAAGCAGCCACCTCGATGAACCCAGAAGCCTCTGCGGCGTACTCGTGCAACCACTCTTCACTCATGCGCACTGCGAGTTTCACGTGATAGAGCCCAAGAGGAAGCGTCCTTTCTTCGATGAGGAGGGACGGGAGGTTGAAATTAATACCCAGTTCTGTAAGATTTATTTTCTTATAGACATTTGAATTTCCATTGAGCTTAAAAACACTCCATTCAAATATCGTTTGTTTTGAAGCTGGACAAAACACTAATGTTTCAGAATCAATATTAATCGACTCAGACCTCTTAACAGTTCTTGGCCTTGATAAATGTGTCCCTACTTCCTGTAAAGTGACTTTTGGTGCCACACACGCAAGGTGAAGAACTTCGACTTCACACTGCAGCGTTTCCACAGAAACTGCGTTTGCTAGAGCTACTTTAACTAGGCGCCTCCCTAGAGTCGTGAAGGTGTGGTATTGGTCAACGTAGTTTGTTGGCATCGTTTCAATATACACGTGGGATTCCAATGAAGTATTAAAACGAAACAGATTACAGTCCTTGTTGCCATAGTGATATACGGTATCATTGACGATGTGTACTGTTAAACAGGCGTCTGAGGTCAATTGACCCAAGATGAAGCGAATTCTACCCTTCTCGTTGATCACAACCTGGCTAGTGCAGAGTAACGTTCTTTCATTGAATGCTACCTCTTTCTGGATGAAGATGTCTGTCACGAAATGCGCGTGACTCACGTTGTTGAATGCCGTGACCGTTAAGTTGTATTGTCCAGTATTTAAAACAGGTAAACGAATTAATTCCTTATTGGCCCATTTTTCCATTGCTTTCCCATTAAAATAATAAGAAAACCTTGCAAACTTGGACTTTAACTGAGTAGAAGAGCTGACGTCCAACTGAAAGCCCATAGGAAAGTGATTTTTATCCCTGCCAAATCCATGATATCCCAAGTTCTCCTTGATATACAAGACAATGGTATGCACTTTAGTTATTGGTTTCTCAATCAATATTCGCTGGCTAAGACTTATGGGCAGTGTCACAAGGTTTTCTGAAGTCACAGTAACGCTGAACCAGCCCTCTCCTAAATAGTAATCAGTTGTTATCACAGCAATACTTGAATTCCCACGTGATATATAATTCAGATGCCGTGACTGAAAGGTCACGGTATACGTAACGTTGGTACCTTGTGTGACTTCCCATTTGATAGTAATATTTTTTCCATAAATCTGAGCTTGTATGGTATGCAAGAAGAATCCTCTGATTTCATGCTGGACTATAACTTTACCAATCGTAATCAACTCACTTATCTTGTTCCAGCATCTTGCCTGGAACAGATAGATTCCTGCTTCTTTAAATATTCTGGTCACAATAATCGTGCGTCGTGCTTCGCTCGCTTCATTTTGAGGTGTACCTTCTTGTATCCTTGTTACGTTGTAAATACCATCGGAGAATGATACCAGACATTCAAACCGTGATCCCTCTACGAGACGCAATATAATGCTTGCATTTTCACCGACTTTAACAGGTTTTGTTTCAATGGTTAGTCCTTTCAGCGGTGTCACAGATATTTCAATGCAAACCTTCCTAACCACCGAACGACTCGACACCGCGTTAAAACCTGTCACATTGATCACGTGACAACCAATTCGTGTGTAAGTGTGGTTTACTGCTGACTTGTTGGTGACTGTAAGCAGGCTCTCGTCACCGAAGTCTATTTTATAAAGGGGGCTTCCATGGACATGCGTGGAAGTTTTAATGTTTAAGGTTATTGTATTGTTAACTGTGAAGAACCCATTACTACTGACAACCAAAACGTCAAAGGAAGCAACCTCAGGCATGACTTCGAAGGCTTGCGTTCGAGTTATGGGATGCGTGACGTCATTATTTGCTACTATGGTTACCAGATGACGTCCAACGGATCCATAATCCTTTGGGAAAATAAACGCATGGCCTTGTATGTCATCTTTTGATGTTATTACAGAAGTTATTGCTCTCTCATCGACCTTGACTTTATAATCTACATTACTACCTCTACTGATGGTTCACTTTAGGGTAATATTACTGCCATTGATTGAAGGAGGTATTGGATTTATATTCAGGTCTTCAATTTGGTGCTGCACTGAAATGAGTCTTGTGGCATTGCAAGAGCTAATGGGATTCCAACAGACCGAGGACACGTTGTAATAGCCAACCGACAAATAACGATGACCAACTGTATAACTTTTGATCGAAATATAAGAACTTGAGACAGTTTCACTAACGCCATCTCCAAAATCCAACGAACAATTAAAGGTGCTTTTATCAGGAAAAAGCAATGATATGTTGGCTTTTTGACCCATTTGCGTCGGTATGGCGACAATAACCAATCCTGAAAGTTTAGTTAGAGGACTCGTAACAGTAATCTTCCTTTTGATAAATAGTGGGTTGCTATGGTTACACCTGTCGTTTGCCATGACAACAATAACGAATATTCCCAGTTGCCTGTACGTGTGGGTAGCTGTGCTGTTGACCTGATGTTGAACTTGACCTCTGTCGCCAAAATCGAAAGAAAAATAGACTTCTTTCCCGCCATTTTGTGTAAAAGCAGCAATCGAAATGGTCGTGTTGATCTGGATTGTGCTTGAGGCTGGAGAGACCTCGATAGACAAAGACGTCACAGGAATAACTAAAACGACGAAAACAAGAGAAAATGAATTGCTGGTTTGCGATCATTCCCAGGGGAGTAAAATATCAAAAGACACGACGGCCATGTTGGATGATATCACAAAAAAATTCATGGACAAGGATTTCGTTAAATTCATCTAAGATGGCGGCTATGACGTCATGTGCAAATTAAAAATTGTTAGAAACTCCTTTTGTTTGTAATATAAGCACAAAAATGCCCCTTCCTCCCCCACCTTTTGAATACCTACCGTAATTACAAGCTTCTCTTGCCGCTTTCACTTGATCTTGTGTCAATGCAGAAGAATAAAATTGCAAGCATGATATTTTTCCCTCATACCCGCTTAGTTGGGTCAAGGACAAGCTTCCAATTCTGATGGCGAACTGAGTCGCTAGTTCAATTGATGGGCCGATGTTAGTGTTCAGAACCGCTCTGCCATCATGCCACAGAGCAGCTGCGCCAGTGACGTAATCATAGGATGCACCAATGAAATTCCACTGTTCCATATTTAAGACTGTTGACGTCAGAAACTCCGTGTGCATTAAAGAGCGCTGGTTGAAGCGCGCTGTTAAGACTCCCTTGCCATTTTTGACGCCATTTGTCCATATTTGGACACCTTGACCATCAGGCTTGTAATTGACAATTGGTGCGAGCTTGCCTGTGATTGGATAAAGGTTGCATAATATTGTGATAGATCTTCTTATATCAAGCCGTTCATTGGCTGGTATTTGGATGTAGGATTGAGGAGTGCCGCGTAGCATGAGCGCGCCATTTTCTTTCCCAGAAGGACCTTGGGTTTTGTCCACTTCGCTCAGTGTTGATGTGATGTGTCCTAGTATCGCTTCTTGGCCACCATACTCGTCATCAAAGGGAAACACTGCTACTGGAGTTACGTCAAGACCACAACTGGCCAAGACTGCAAGTCAATCAAAGATAAATGGAAGAATATTAAAAATAATAATAATGATAATAATATTTATTCCTTATATAGCGCCTCTTAGATAAATGTCCAGCAGCGCTTTACAATCCAATCAAACTTAATTAATTCAAATACTAGAAAACGTACTAGAAAACGTACTAGAAAACTTGAAAAAAATTAAAGCTATTTTAAAACGATGTTCAATATTTATAAAATTCCTGTAATACGAATGTCAAAACTATATATTTATTCTAAACTTAATTTTAACTATATATACCTACTTGCAAGTCAGCTTCAGTGGTCTTCTTTTGTTTTAATTAATTCCTATCCCACTAAATCACTAATGTTCTATTTTCGTATGACAACGTTCTTGCAAGTAGGTGTAATACGTACACCGTAAAATTCCTATTTTACTATATTAGAATACGGAGAGTATTAGCAGCACATTGGGATATCTTTAGTAATCTTGATCACTTCTAAGAATAAAATATATAACGTTTTGTTACTACCTCAAAACGCAATGAAACATAATGAATAGCCACACGAATATCCAACGTGCGAGTTGACTACTATGTATGAATATAGTGGAAGGAAGCTCACACGCCCCTTGTGGAAATCAGCGCTAGCTTTAAATTTAGTTAACGGGGCAAGCGTGTATCAATAAAGTTTTTCCTGCCTACCTCGTACACTCCGGGTATTTTTATGCTTCGGATTAATATGAATACAAAGTCATTTCCAGACCAAAATGAAATATAATTAAAATTACTGTGGTATTAAACTTGTGTCGTTTAAAAAGAAGGATATTAAAAAACGGTAGGGGGAAAACACGAAAATATAAAGCAGGCAAATAGGAAAGAAAAGGGAAAAAAGCAACAAGCTCGTGTTACGTAAACAAAATGAAGATTGTTACTGTAGAGGATTTTTCTTCAACAACATAGATATTAAACAGCTTCAGTTTTTAATCTCTTGGAAAAGCTTTTCATAAACAAAACACTAACCCCAAGAGCGAAAGCGCTTTACGAGGGGGTTTATGTTCAAATTTAAAAACGACGAATAACAAATGTCGTAAAAACGGGAAAAAAAATAAAAAGAATTACTGAAGTGAAATGAATGAATGACGAAAGGTGAAAGAGAAATAAAACTTAGAAAAATCTGAGAATCTGGAAAATCTGGAACTCTGATATTCCTGAGTTATTTCTCTTTCACCTCGTCATTCATTCGTTTCACTATCCTATGTATTTCTAATATTTGTTCTCATAATTACAAAAGTGTTTAGCAATAATACAGTAATACCTATAGATTATTTATGTAATAAAATAAATGAAAAATGAATAAATAAATAATTAGGAATATGATAATTGAGCTAAAGACGTTTTCCTTGGACTATGGTTTACATGTCTTTACACGCAGATACCCCACAGGCATTTAGTTGTTATTACATAATATTTACTTGTTCCTCTAACCGCAAAGCTACAAGAAACTGTATTCTTAATGACGCACAAGAATTAACTGGTAAAAAAACATGCAGGATTTAAATAACCAAGTAATATTCTACTTTGACGGGATTAGAGCGGAATATGCACACAAGTACAAATGTTGTTCTGGAGTTAATGGAGTTAATGCGTTTTCATACTGTTTTCTATTGCATTAAATGACATTTTCATTGTTAAGGTGTGCATTGAAACACCAATTAAAAATCAAAACTGAAGTTAGTTTGAATGGCATAAAAGTGTATAAATGGTAAAAATTCACCTGCATTATATTAATCGGATAACTGAAGGAAAGATGAACAAAGATAAAAACTATGAAAGTACTTTACCTTTTTGTCTTTTTGTCTCACATTTTCCTTGGCCAAGAACAAGGCTCTTCAAAAATACAGTATAGAAAAAGAGAAAAATGAAATCAGTCAGGCTATAACCAAAGTTTTCTCATCAAAAATATTGGGTTTTTGTTCAAGTTCACTGCAACAAGAGTCACAAGAGACTGATTTATAACCTTAAGGCATTTTAAACACCCAATTTTGAATTGAATGCATGAGCACAGATTATTCTTACCGTAATGATGAATAGCACAGTCAAGCAATTTCCGATAAGCGAATTTTTCTCCATTGAAAACAATTAGTTTGTAAATCGGAGTGAAACTGACATCGTTTAGTTGTCAATCTGACTCAACGGTTTGATGGACTCACTAATTAGTATAGTTTCTAGCTATAATTAAATAAATAAGTCCATCTCGAACCTTAGTCGGACAGTGTCACCGAGTGGGATTATCGGGTATCTTTCCTAGGTATAGCAACAACAATAACATTTTCGACAACAACCAGCAACAGCAGGCGGAGCTAGCAACAACAACAGTAATAACAATAACAGCAAAACTGACAAAAGAAAAAAGGCAACAACAACAAATGATCCAATTATTATTGCAGTTAATTTCTAAATGATGCACAGGAAAAAAAATTAGTTTCTACAAGTTGGAACGATTGCCAACTTGTGGGTTTGCAAAAACATTTAGCCTGTGACAATTGTGGTTAATCTACAAGCTAGTAAACCAGAAAAACTACTCTCATAATTGCGCAATCCTCAATGAAACAAGGATATGGGTATACATGAAAGATAAGAGTTACTAGTACCCTTTCAGTTGGGCAATTTTCATTTTCCAATTTTTTTCCAATTTCTATTGATTTTAATGGCTTTTCGTTTATGCATAGTTTTAATAATCGCCCTACTTACAGAGAACTAAGCGTTGGTGAAACGCCAAGATTTTTCTCTAGGATTATTTTACGGCCTTTATTGACTGGTATCTGACACATGTTGCTACCAATTTATCATTAATGCTCATTAATTATATAGTATTTGTACCGGTTCTGAGACTAAAGGTTTAAGTGAACGGTGCACAGAACGAAAGTTACTTGATTTTATAGCTCAGTTTGACATCACTTTTAACGATTATAAAGTTGATGCTTTTTTTAACTGTCACTCAAATAATGAAAACTTACTGAAAGACTTATTTATATAAATGAAGTATGAACATTAGAAGTCTCATTGTTTCGCCCTTGGCATGCTATTGACGCATCATTATCATCATTATCGTCACTATATTATCTTCAAAGCTATCATCATCATCATCTATAAGCTTAATTATCACCCGGACGATCACATTTCACAACAAACTATAACTTATTATTCACATGAACCTTTCCCTCCCCCCTCGGCAAACATTTGTCATTCATACACAGGTAGTCCATTTGTGCGATATTATGTCCCGTCCCCCTCCCTGTTGGTATATATTTATTCTAGGCAAAATGGCCGCCAGTCGAAGATTTTTTTACTGTGAAATTGTTTTAAGTTGTTTTGGCATTTTTACTTCATAATATGACACAAAATCATTTAAATATTGCCTGTATTAAGATATTATTAATTGAAGAGGAGAATGACTGAAAAATGTCTTCAGTCTAAGAGAATTATTGTTGATCAAAACCACTTGCTGAGAAGTCAGAATTTTACTGCCACGTATCTCGTACATAAATGGATCGTAGATTATTTGGCTTCCAACAGCTTGCCGTTGCTGCCAAGACTCTAGGACTAGTGGTGTTCTTTTACACGTTCTCTATAAGCCTTACCTTTTATAATAAATGGATGATGAAGGTGAGGAAAGAGTCAAATCTGTGACACTCAATAAACATTTCCTCTACAGGCATTTGATCTTTAATATCTAATGTAAATCTTGCCATGATTGTAACCACATGTATCTTAGGGTATTGCACATTATATAATCAAACAAACAAGATCATAGTATACAAGGGATGATGTTTTCTCTTTGTTTCCACAGAGATTTCATTTCCCGCTATCAGTGTCTGTCACTCATTATACCATGGTCTTCATAATGGCATCATTCTTGAGATGTTACTGGGAATTCAGAAAGGGAAAGAAAAGAATCATTCTCAGTTGGTCTGATTATCTCAAAAGGGTTTTCCCAGCTGGTAAGTAATATGTCAGGAACTCTATCCAGGCATGGATCAAGTGGAGGTTTACTTAGTGCTCATGCATGGATAAGGATTGCAACTTTAGGTTTTGTTGCATGTTACATTGGCAAGCCTGAAATGCACTATGGGTGATGTGGATGCGATCAGCAATACAGTCCTTTGACTAAACGTTGTCGTTTGATCGGCTTCATCCCTACACGCCTAGGCCAAAAAGGATCATGGGGATAATTAATTCACAGTTACTAGCTGCCGCATATGTTATGTAACACATCTTGAGCAAGTTGTACTGGACTGGAAATACTAAAGTTTTGGCTCTTATCCCCAAAGTAACCTATTTCGAAGCTACTATCTGTAGCCGGCGATAACTCGTCTGAACAGCACTCAAGCAGATAATCTTTTAGCGCCTGCACGTTGTCGATGTTTGGGACCGTCCTTGATGGAATATGATGCGAAATGGCTCTTGTTTTCCTGCATAAAGCGCGAAGGCAAATGTGCGTTTTGCTCTCCATTGTGCGATTGCCACCGACTGATAGACAACAATTAATTATTCATGTTAATTTACCCGTTATCCTTTTCGGTCTAGGCGCGTAGGGATGATCTGATCAACAACAACGTTTAGTCAAAGGACTGTATATAAAGGTTATCAGTCGGCTAAGCATCTGATATGCCTTTGTATTTTTACGAGTCAATGAGTATTTTGGCAAGCCTTTAGGCAAGCCAAAATACAAGTGATGAGTAAAATTGCACAACTGTATATCAGATGCTTTGCCAACTGATAAGTTGTTTATCATTTAGTTCTGCAAAAAAAATGCTCAGAATTCCTCTAAACTGTACCATACCAGATAGCGAGTAGATGAGCAGTGCTGATACAGTCTAATATCAGGCATGGTCTTTTCCCGTATCACGCATGTTCTTTACTAAACTTTGTCTGCTGACATTATTAACATAATTATGAATATAAAATACATTTCAAGGTTGATTAGTGGCAACATTATGCAGCATGCAGAATGTAACAAACCTTCACCAACCTTTTTCAAAATAGCTGTATATATGTGAAAGAGATAAAAAGCCATATTTGTTGAAGGTTCCATGATATTTAGCTTAGTTTTCCCATTTCCGCTTGACCTTGTGTCATTCTCTTGAGAATAAGGTTATTTTTGTTTGAGTGCATATTTATTTCACTGATTTCTCATGCACAAGTCTGTCCAAAACTATTAACAAATGAAAATCTAGATAATGTACACATGGTTCAAAATAGAAAAAAATTATGCTCTAGCTGTGGCCTTGAAAACATCCCCCACAAAAATTGAAAACAATTCAGTATACTAGTAAATTCTAATATGAGACCTTTAATATTTGATGGTTTCTAATTTATTTTCTAGCTGTGGCAAGTGCACTTGATATTGGGCTTTCAAACTGGAGTTTCATGTTCATCACAGTGTCTCTGTAAGTAACAAATTTACAAATCCTACATTCTGAATTGGCTAAAGAGATGCCATTCTGCTATCAGTGATAGCCAATTAAAGTGAACCTGGAATTTCCCAGCCATATGTTTTACTATAAGTTCACTTTCAAATTATACTATCTTAACTTTGCAATAATTACACCTCTCTATACACCTCTTTACTTTCAGTGTACCTTTTCAAACTGTGTCATTTTCTTAAAAATAAGATTCTTTGTTTGAGTTAATGTACATGTTTCCATATTCATTTTTCTTCTCATATGCAACCAATAAAACAAAGAAATGATACTCTAGGGAGTGGCGTGATCTGAAATTGGAAAAAGTTATGCCCAAGCTAAAGAGTTCTATTCATGGTCCACAACAATATTATTGTCCTTCAGGTTGAATAAGTTAATTAGGTTTTTGCTCATTTGTTTCCTAGGTATACCATGACTAAATCCACAAGTATTATTTTCATTCTTATATTTGCGTTGCTGTTCAGAATTGAAAGTTGGGTAAGAAACAAAATTAATCATATTGATTTATAATTAGGAAATAAGAACTGTGCCTTATTTGTTATTGACAGACCCCTTATGGGCCCATTTACATGATACCGGAATGAGTTCATTCCAGAACGAGAATGAAATTTCATACCTCGTTTACATGAGAAAAATCCACACAATGAGTTCAAGCTATGATTGCATTGAAATACATGTCTGATACCCATGCGTTATTCCTTTCATTCTCCCCAGAGAGAGTTTCGTTCCAGAATGAGTATTCGTTCCACGTTTTCAAGATACCGATATGGAATATCATTCTGGAATGAGCGTTTCATTCTGGAATGAAAACCAGGATGACTCATTCCTGAATGACTCATTCTGGGATGAAATTTTGCTTTCGTATCATGTAAACAAATACAAAGAAATATATGGCAACCAGTATGAACTCGTTCCAGAATAAAATGCATTCCGGTATCATGTAAATCGCCCCTTAGTGATGAAATGAGCATTCTAATAACTTAATTTATTTCATATCTTTTAGCATATATCATTAGTGGCGATTGTTGCACTTATCTCAGGAGGTCTGTTCATGTTTACTTATCAATCAACACAATTCAATTCTGAAGGGTTTTTCATTGTAAGTTACATAAATTTTCTTCCGTTAATATGCATTATGAGGGTTCAAGCTAAAGAGGTCTCATGGAATATATGGAATGATTTTTATTTTCTGGTATATTGTCATGTATTCTGATCAGAAAGTAGTTACTTCCACTTATGCTTAAACTTAGATTCTGCTTGATTCTTGATCCTTACATCTTCTGTTTCTTTATTATTCTTCTCAGTGTTTGACAGCTTCAGCACTCAGTGGAATACGATGGACATTAACACAAATAATCATGCAAAAAGATAGTTTAGGTGAGAAGAAATTTGCAGTGGAGGAATGGAAATCTGTTAAAGTGGGAGGGCTGGTCTATGGAGGGCTGGTCTATGGAGGGCTTGGGCATGGAGGGCTGGTCTATGGAGGGCTGGTCTATGGAGGGCAGGTCTATGGAGGGCTGGTCTATGGAGGGCAGGTCTATGGAGGGCTGGTGCGTAGAAGGTTGATTTGATTGTAGTTGTTTTTTATCTCATAGGACTTCACAATCCAATAGACACTATATATCACATACAGCCCCTAATGGCAATGTCCCTGGCACCTTTGGCATTTTTTATAGAAGGTATTGTAATCTGTAACAATGTAACAATTTATGGATGTTATGCCCATACAAACACATTATCATCTAAAACTGGTAGATGTAACAATATTGGAAGTATATATTTAATAATTTCTACTAATTTTGTTTTGTCCAGGTCATGAAATGGTGTTATCTCCTCATTTATTTAATGCACCCAACTTACACGAGGCTTTGATATCAGCTTCTATGGTCTTTGTTGGTTGTTTCCTAGCATTCATGCTCAGTCTTTCTGAATTTCTTCTCCTCTCTCACACATCAAGCCTCACTTTATCTATATCAGGCATCTTTAAGGTTAGTACTAAGAGCATTACTAAAAAGAAAGTCTTTTAAAATTACTCTTAATTTGTTCCATCAGTTACATAGTACAGCAGCGAACTTTTGAGTTGTCTTACCAGCGTTTGTATTGCTATGCGGCCACCCCAGACAAAAATTGTGAGGTGCACTTTGCAATAGACTGCCGTCAATCAAACACGTTGACGTCATTTACACGCGATTCAAAAGGCTCCAAAACTTCAGTCGATTGTTTACAAGTATTATGAGCTACACTCACCGGGCCGATCCAAACGCGTGTAAATGACATCAACTTGTTTGATTGACGGCAGTCTATTGCAAAGTGCACCTCATGATTTTTGTCTGGGGTGGCCACGTAGCAATGCAAATGCCGGTGAGCTTCAAGTGAGCATATATTAAATAGAAGAACGTTTCATGCCACCATTGAAAATCACTCTAGATACCCTGCAATTCTTCCTTCATGGCCATTTAATTTCATTTCACACAATTTGAAGAATTTGAAGTGCATGGTTTTGCAATTTTATGAGCACTTTTTTCCAGCCATTGATATCTAATAGCTCGGTAGAATGAATAGTATCCCTAGCAGCTGTTTTAGTCTCATTCTATTCGGACCCCTACAGTCCACTTCTCTTTGTGGGGAGAGACTAACAACAGCTGTGAGGGAGACTATAGAATGAAGCTAACTAATTTTTTTTGTGTCCCAAAAGGAAGTCTGTACATTATCTTTAGCAACAGAATTTGGTGGGGACAAAATGAATGCCGTTAATTTTGTTGGACTCATCTTGTGCCTATCTGGGATAGCTGTTCATGTGGTTACCAAGGCCACTAAAGGTCAGTTACAAAGAGAAAAAATAAATTGATTTTAGTAAAAATACACAGGTGATTATTGAAAATCTCGCGTGCTGATTGGTCAAGAAATTCACACTATCACACCATAATCACCTCCATAATCCAAAATGGCGGCCAGCTGCTTTGTTGCTGTTACCGGGGAAAAATTGTCTTTTATCTTCTTTTTTTCTGTTTTTGAAAGAATCACCTGTGTATTTATACTAAAACAATTATTTGCCTAAGCCTCAGTGAATATCAGGGAATATTTACCTCACCGCTTGAAGACTCACGTCTTGGTAAATATTCCCCGATATTCACTGAGGCTGAGGCAAATAATTGTTAAATAATGGAAATACTATATGCTTTTCATGTGGTGTGACATATGAAATTTTTACCAGGGCGAGGGGGAAGGGGAGGGTGTTATAATGGGATGGGATGAGGGAGAGGGCCACTAAAGGTCAGTCACAATAGGAAAAAATAACTCATTAAATAATTATAATTGAAATATAATATGCAATTCATAATGGAGGGGGATAGGGTTAATCATATGAGGCTACTACTGACAATAGAATGGGGGAGAGGAAAAGAGGGAAAGAGGGCTTGTTGTGTTGAAATTTAGCAAATGAATAAAATTTATGTAGTGTTATTTTTTGGACACAGATAACAAGGAAAAAGAAACTAAGAAAGTTAAGTATGATAAAATGACACCAGAAGAAGCCGTGCAGATGCTTCCTTTGACACAAGATGAGGATGACAATCAATATTAGGATTATGAAAATTAATATCAAGTATGTAAAAGTGCTCAATTGCAAATCATTGTCAGGTTTTTAAATACATCTAACATACAGTAGATCGAAGCTGAGACCAAAATGGTACATATTAATTAGATGTGTCTAGCGATACAAGTTGTGGGGTGTTCATTGTTGCACTCACTGGCAGAGAGCATGGAGGCTTTTAACGTTTCATATTTACTGTTTAATAAAATGAATACTCAGAGGTTAATTTGACATTTCCCAGACTACCTTTCAGTTCAGTCTCAGGTTGTATGTTTTGAGCCTGACAGTGTCAGATTTTGCAATTGAAAGTACATAATTTATATATTATATTTTAAAAATTATAAAATATATCTGCCATCTTTATATCAGAGGACAGAGACACGCTCACACAAATTCATTTTTAAAAAATATTTTATAAAATAGCAACGAATATAAAACAGCTGTTTATGTGACTCTCTGTACTACTGTGATATAAACACTTAGGAGCTACATGTATAGAGTATTCTAATAGCAAGAGAAACACTTGGCCATGTCTGGTTTTCTAAGCTTGCTTCTCTAATGTTTTATAGCTCCAGCATGTTTATTTCACAGTACAGAGCATGTTTATTTCACAGTACAGAGACGTGTGTATATATTAAATATATACACAAACACAAAATGGTCAGATAATAGATAGTGAATTTACCATGTTTGCTCATAAATTATGCAGACAGTGGATGTCAATATCATCAGCCTTGGTTTTGGCAGAGGTAATATGACCTAATGGACCTGATAACTGTTTCTTTATATTGATATCCTTTATATAATGCAGTTCCAATTAAGTACATACTTTTTGTATGTTTTAATAATGATTATAATTATATCAAATATTGAATGAACATTTTTTCACAAATGGATTATTGCAGGTTCAATTGTAATTTCCCGGGGGGGGGGGGGGG